CTAAAAGTTTCTAATGACTCTATTGGGAATTCTTTTTTGTAGGATCTCGCAACAAACGAAATTCGAGAAAGAAAGAGCAAAGGAGTCCTCGACAGATGTGGTCCAGTACAGCGACAGCGTTGACTCTGATGTCTATGTAAAAGCACCTGAGTAGAGCACTCACGACATTTCCGCTANTGGGTATTCCCACGACCAACTTCAGCAATTACTTTTAGCTACTTCAAAACTCACAATTGGTCGCAGTTGCGGATGGAACATGATGAAGCCATTCTGATCCAGCATGAAAAAGTAGCTGCGTCCTCCGATCTGAAAAAGGAAGGTGTATATCAACTACCGAACGTACTTGGAACGACCGAGATATTTCTTTCTGTGAAAATACGGCCGTAGCATGCCACCGTCCGCATCATGCACTGATTCCCCTAGTACTATTGACATTCCTAGGGATGTTCAAGCTAGGCCACCAGCTGCGATTACTTGAACCCATATGATTTTTCTCGGTCATATTCAGCCACGCCCATCAAGAATAGTTGAATAACCTCTCAAATGCAGTCATCATATGGCAATAACCATAAGGCTACAATTGGCTTTCTTCCCCTATTCTCCGCCTGAGCATAACTCTCCGAGCTGGAAAATAGACAAAAACAGAATGCATGTGGTGGCCCATTAAGCGCTCCAACGGTAACGTTACTCACATTACTAGGATGAGCCTGCTGATTGAGTTCCGTTAGGGGAGTATTAACGGCTGCTACTCCCATAAACGTTCGATTGACAATCACGGGAAACGAAACCGTCGTGACAAACATTCGTCCACGTGCTTCTGTTTTTTGAAGACGAATTTTCTGAAAAGTGATGACCTCAGAAATCGTATGTGCACCAGAGGATCGTATGGAAATTTCAGAACTCACACGACGTGCTGCCATCTTGTTCATGATCGCGTACTGAAAATGGCTACTTAAGCAAGAATAAGTACTGCTTCGAGAAGGGGTCATGGAAAAAAACGAGACCGATCAGACGCCTTACCTTTCCTCACCTTTTTCGAACAAAATATTCTACCACCACACCTTCACTTTCTTTTTAAACCATCGCAGTTAATTAGTAGTTAATAAGTTCTATAACTCGTCTGCCCTAAATCTATCAGATTAATCTTATGAAACCAGTGAACGGATGCCCGGATCTGTTGAAACTACGTCTCATTCCCACGAACGGCTGTCTATGAACCTCAGCGTAATTGTTATGTTACTGAGTTTATTGTTTCCTTGAACTCTTCATGAGGTTTGTATATTAGCTTTATAAGGCGACATTTCAGCGGAAGCCCTTTTTCAGACCCTGAAAGAGTCGTAACGAGACCCAAGGGCACGGCTGTGATTGAAAGGTGAACCACTCAGAGTAGCTTTGTGGATTTTTCAACCACCCAGAAAGTAATGGTACCAACCAAGCAGTGACAGCTGGGGTACTTTTCTTCATTGGATGAGCACATACAAATATCCCAACATGAAATAATTACATATAAGCACCAGCCATTACACTTAAGAAAGCGGTTTGCAACAGGTAGCTGAGCATATTGGGTAGAGCAAGGGTGGCCTTGTAGTAGTTGGTTACAGTTCTCAGTAGTTCTATTTATTTATGATTCCCTAGCTTCTCCATGTATCACGGTAATTTGAAAAGTTCCCATACAGCAACAAACGGATTGATGAACCTACCGATTGATTAGTGATGGGCACTGGTTCAGCGAATATCTCTGGACGAGGGAGGTACTGAAATGAAGAGAACATCATGAGATTTTGATGAATAGAAGAGGAGTGGCGCAGTTGGAAGGTCAAATGTGAAAGGAAACTATGGGTGGTTTTTAGGTTTTTTTTGTATTTCTTGGTGAGGATCTTCAGACACGAGAAGGACTAGAGACAGTAGGTAGTGTTACAAAAAGCATTTCTGACCATCAATCGAATAGATTTTATGATTCAAAGACGATTGATGTGAAAAAGGGCAGGACGAAAGGAACACATAAGTAAAAGAAATCTTCAGAAAAAGGAGTTTAACATAAGCACGAACCAATCTTTCTCGATATACACCGCTCCATAAAGCATCGTCTACTTGGATGTCACCCGCATGCTGACCGATTGGTCGTGACATCGTACGGATATAGTGCTGAAAAAACTTTTATATAGTAATGGCTTGTTCTTGTGGTGTTGGCCCTTACACAGCACCGAAATGCCATCAATATGAATTGCTCGTATCTACAGAGAAGAGATGCACCAAAGCCGTGGGAGGGGATAGGTGAGAAAGTTTAAGCGAAGCTGACCATACCTGGACTTTATCCTCAACGTCGGCCATGTTCTGCACATGTACCATGTAGCCTCTATTTGTGCAGGCCATGGTCTTTACCTGCTCAAAGTCGATGGCTTCCTCACCGATTAGAAAGGAGAAAAACCGCACCTGAAAAGCACATTCATACTTGACCGAAGCACCTTGGTGGATTGTGAGATCAGAAGGCAAACTACTCGAAAAAGAACTTTGGCATCCAAATAGGTCACCAACTTGGATGCAATTCGTCGATAGTCATCCAATGACCATATATTTTCGAAGGCAATGCTGCGAAATTGGCAAATGTGAGACTATTGCGGAGTTCAGGTGGAGGCTTCAATGGTTTTGAAGGATATGGATTTTCAGAAAATATAAAAGCGATGAGTCTTAGATGGGATCTGAGCTCAAGGTGTAGGGTAATAGCAGCGTTCTTGGGGAACAGCTCTACGAATATTGACTTCATATCTATGGGCGATAAAGGATATTTTGCCTTTTCTCAATCATTTTTATCACCCTCTATTAAATATTACAGCGCAGATCAAGATGTGGCCAGGTAGGACAAACAGCTTTTTACTCCTCTCGCATTTTGCTCTGGAGAAAACAATCTTCCAAGTATTGTTTTGAAAAAAAATTGTTGCCAACTAGGACTGGGAGGGTTGATGGTAAAGAAGTTCCGAGACGTTCTTCAAATCCTCACCACATAATAATTAGTGAAGGTAGATTCGACCACTAATCCCATATTGGGTTGTTCCCACGGCATAAATTTGGAATAGTGATGGCATAATCGTTGGGCAGCGTGATAACATGTGAAACCAGCTACATGTGAGCTATTTGCCCAGACAAGTTCAGCACTTTGGAGAGATTGAATGCATGGGCGAAAATCCCCGAACTATTCGTATGGTAATACGGCTACCAGTACTACTACCCACCTTCGCACCTTCCCCTCAACTATTGTATTATTTATTCCCCTCCAAACAACAAGCAATCGGAATTGTGCCAGAATTGATAGCTCAACGGGCCAAGTCGCAAAAATTTTTGCTCGTACAGACGTCGTATAGACTGTGCTAAAATCAAAATCAACTTCACAACGCCAACCTTTTTGTCCTTATTGTAGAGATCGAAAATTTCTTTGTAGACATTTGGGGCTCCATCAGTGATGAGCATGATGACGTTCTCGCAGCCCTGGTCAGGTCGACCATGACGTGAGCTAATCTGAAAAACAGCAGCCTCAATAAACCATGTTTGTCTGGGCGGTCCCGTGCATCAGCTCGGAGATCACTCCATTCCAGTGCTTTGAAGAATGTGATGACGATATACAGGAAAGAAACGATAACGAAACACGAACAGACAGTGACAAATCGGTAAAGCACATGCAAAAAACATCAGGTGCACTGAGTGGATCCGGGAAATGAAAATGGGAATGCTCACAGGGCAGCGCCTAAAATTAGCCTTTGAAGGTGCTAGCGGTGAGGCTCATACTGGAGTGTAGGAACTTTTAGAATATGCGATACTGAAGGCAGCAGAAGTCTGCAAAAGTGCTATTTAAAGTTTACTACTCAGAGTTTGACCCCAAAGAGGAAAGGTAGAAGATTTGAATTGAAAAGGAACGTCAGAATTAGGTTGGAGGTTGAAAAGAGTATGCACGAGGTCAGCGACACGCCCATCCCTTGATGTCTCGCTCCACATCTGGGAAAAGTCTCAGAGGAATGCCCAGTAAATAGCCAGGAAGGACCTTCACTAATGTTAATATTAGGGGCTGGCTATACTTGACGGGATGTCTCCCTCTTTAGGACGATTTTTACCCAGAGGGTAGGAATATACCAATTGGAAGAGTGCATGCAGAACTGTAATCTTACGATACATTCATCGCGGGAATGTGCATTGAAGTTTTCATGCGGGTGCAGGCAAGCTGTCATGCAACTAGTTGTCACTTCCACCACTTACTGCCTCGATGTATTCTGGATCGGCGGACAGCACGTGTTCAGGGAAAACGACGTGGATCCGGTCCCTTGTAGCATTCGGTTCCATCACCGCCATTTCCTCACGAGTGTGCAGCTCGTAGTGGCCGGGCAGCTAAGACAGGCAGTGAAACACATCGCAGCAACTGCTGCGCAACAGGTACAGTTCGACGGTTTGTTGCGCAGCAGGAGCTGCGTTGTATCGGCAAAAGCAACGGAAAGAACATGTGGGCGGCCAAATGGGACGCGACATAAGCTCTTAGCTCTTCTCACATAGAAAGCACTACAAGCAACGTAAGGTTAGCAACAAATTATTCACGAAAAGCGATAGCTTTTTCTCTTCGATTCTAGCCATTTAGCCAAACAGTGGTTTTCGGCCACACAAAAGTCGCATAGGCGCCTAGTGTCAGCGAAACAAAACACAGGTTGTGGACGATTGCACAAATGAGAGTTCTGAAACTGTTGTAAGCACGTTAAGTGACAATCGACATATGTGTTGATTAATCGATAATCGAGAAATTGTGCTTGTTAGAAAAAATCGGGGATTTCACTCACATTAAGTAGGGTGGTGAAAGCGTGCGGTAACGCCTTCTCATATTCGGCTTTCCCTTCGCTCGACACGTTGTTCATTTTGTTGCGAAGAAGCTGGAATATTAGAGTCGCTGCTCAAAAGCAAAAGCGGAGTGCTCTGAGCTAACTTCAATCATGAATTCAAATTTACGCTTTTCTGAACCAAGACCTTTATCGTATCAGGATAATACTCAGTTAATACATCCATCAAGTTGATCCATTTGGTAATCCGAGGGCGAAATAATAAGGAAACGAGCGTGTAGTTCATCTTAAGAGAGACTTTTGCGCTTTTGGACTAGTCCAAGCCGATCAATTCTTTATTCTCTGCGAACAACTAGCCAAAGTATTGGACCAAGTCATAAGCCTTTCGGCAGCTAAGGTACACTACGTGGGGTAACCTCATTAGCGATGGATTCGTTACATACCCCACCTACAGCGCTCTAGCTATGAGGCCTAGAACAAGCAGTAGTGGGCGTTATATCCGGACGGCATGCTGGTGAAGCTACATATATGACAAGTGATCTAATTGTAAGCGATTTGGGTATAAGGCCACGCGTCAGACCTTATACTTGAATCGTTTTAAACAAGCAGTGATCATGAGCAGCAAAGGAAGGTCTTGCAACAGAACTCAACGTAATAAATAAATCTAGATGAGAACGAGGAGTGCAAATGGAAAAGAGAACAACAAAACCTTCTTATTTCGCATCGTCGCCTGTAGAAGACCGTTTCTTCCATTGCAGTCGTCAAGGAAGAATGGAGTCTTTGAAAACTGCAAGAACTTTATGTTAACAGAAAAAAATGAAAGATAGCTTTATCGAGTAATCTAAAAGTTTCTAATGACTCTATTGGGAATTCTTTTTTGTAGGATCTCGCAACAAAGGAAATTCGAGAAAGAAAGAGCAAAGGAGTCCTCGACCGATGTGGTCCAGTACAGCGACAGCGTTGACTCTGATGTCTATGCAAAAGCACCTGAGTAGAGCACTCACGACATTTCCGCTATGATTCTGAGGCTCACACTCTGTTACCAGTCAGTACGACCATTTCCTCAAAAGTTGAGACCCCGTAGCACCATAAAACGTTAAAATTCTGAGGAGCATTAGGGACGACGTCAGTTTGAAGTGTAATCTCTAAACCGGACAATGCGCTAACCCATGGCTTGCACATGCAACGGAAGGACCTTAACTGGGAACAGCAGGGCTATTTAATTGTTCAGAATCAGAATGGTCAGAAGCCTAGGCACTAGATGTGCCGGGCTTATTGCACAAGGCTTCGTTTAGATCTACACCCACCCCTTCCCTGGCGAGACGACGAGATGTGAATTTCCAAAGACAGTTGAGCCTTTAGGAGCTGGAGGCTCGCAAGCGCTTGTTCTTCTTCTGCTTCAGAGCTCGCTTTGGTCGTCGTTACAGTAGCTTGCTAGACTGTTTTTTGATGGATTAAGGGCTTCCCATACTTTCGTTTGAAAATAAGATAGCTTTTTTGCTTAGTTCAGCTCTACTGCTCCGCTTCCAGGATGTCTTCGTTCCATTTTCACCTTTGCTGCTTTACAACGTAAATGGCTACGATTATCGAAAAAAAAACCTTGCGTTGTCAAGCCGTTTCATGGCTGAGCACTACCTGATTATCCTTTGCGGTTGAAAAACGATCTTCTCAAGAACAGGTGGCCGCTTCCGGTTTATCGCCTTTCACTGCTATTAATCATTCCTTTTTAAGTCAACTACTCAGAAAATACTGCAAACTGCTAGGTCAAATACTCGTCTTCTGAAGCCCATGGTGGGCCACTTTAATCCCTACCAACGTGGCCATTTAGACGGCTTTCCGAGGATGCGATCATCACAAACGGTACTGGGTATGCAAGTGAGACTTCAAATAGTCGGGTGGTCAGAAATGCCAGACAACCCTATTTACTCAGATAAATGAAATATGATTATTATCGTGTGCATGTCTGTCGGGAATCAAATGATTTTTACGTCGTCATCGTCAAGGGTCAAAAATCTATTCCAAATCCGAGTAGCCGGGTTACCTCACGGATATTACAATACGTACAAAAAGACAGTTGTTGACTGAATCTCCATTGCGGTTTCTTAGCTATGCACTTCTTTTCGTTCGGTTTCCTCTCCCATGAGACAGCTCCTATATTTCCCTAGTCTTTGCCAACCTTAGATGCGCTTCTTCAGGACGTAGGACTCGACCATTCTTGCGCTGCAGAGTGTTCAACCCTTGAGGATTCATCTGCCAGCGAAATGAAGTTGACGGTTCCAACGCGAACTTCTTTTTTAGCCGATTTCCTTCATTCCTCGGTGAATTCAGAACTCGTTCAAGTTCTGTGCGCACTTACAGATCACGTTCAAGCACAGGTATTTACTCTTCCAAAGAGCTTGATTATCCTTGCTGTGAGTGAGGTTCTCCATCAGTCAGAGTGTCAACCTGGGCCTGATGCTAGTGATGACATTATTTCTGCAGAAATTGCAGAGCGTACCCTTTGGCCGCTGCACGGATGAGTTTGAAGCCTTCACTGTAAAATGGGCCTTCAATTGCAACCGTTCGGCCTCAGATATATAGCTGTAGTGAGCCAGTGAAGAAGGCTGAGGATAAGCGAGCTGGCTGACCCTGACTGATCCAACTGTCCGTCTTCCTCTTTCACACTTCCACACTTGCAGTTACCTGCGTGGTACGGTACAGGACATGATGGTCAAAACGTGGCTCATTGAACTCCACAATACCAATTGAGGGGCATGTAAATAAGCTGACAGCATGCAGTACCCAAAATGAAAAGGGAAACAGGGTTTGAACTACGTAGGACAATCAGTGTTTTGGCCATAAGCAAGACACTGTGACAATCCCAAGGTTATACCAAAGTGTGAGCTCGAGAGCCAGCTACATAGATAGAAACAGAAGCGGACACAGCAAATGCTTAAAAGTTACTCTTCAGAGGAACTCCAGCAAGCTTGTAATACATTTTCTCAACGAAATAAAACTGAGGAAATCGCAGAAAATTGGAAAAGTAAAGGCTATCAATCTGGTGTTCATCATGCCGAAAACTGAAAAAGCACAGACTCACCGGCATGATGTTGAAGTAGTCGTTATGACTCAATGTTTCCAAAATTGCTTCTGTGGTCTGTTTTGCGATTTCGTACCGCTGTCCTAGCATTGAACCAGACATATCGAGCATTATCAGAACATTTTTGGAGTTAGTGGCAGCGTTAATGTACCTACAAGGGGTAATTAAAGCAGATCATTCCAGGAAATGACAAAAGTCTGAAAAGTAAAATGGAGTGCTTCTCAAGTGTTTGCCTCTCCAATTCACCCACCATTGTGTGTTGCGGCAGTCAAACAAGTCGAGATGCTCGATGTGATTGTCCCAGAACCACGAGGCAGCTGCAAATTAGGGATTTCGGCATATGAACTGAGCGCATTGCTGACGGATGGTCACCTGGGAAGAAGCGCATATACCCGCTCTCGGAGCAGAAGAGCTGAAATGCCAGATCACGAGTCTCTTCGCGGTGTGTTCGATAAACCTCGTCGATTTGCGACCATTCGATCTTTCGCAATAATTCAGGATCTGAATAGGAAGATGTGACTAACTGGAAAGTCTACCATCATAGTAAACTTCTACAATACTGCTACTATTTCGTGGTCAACCAACGGCTTGTAACGGATCAAAGTCACAGTTCACGATTTAGAGGGTTTCTTAGATTTATCCTTAAGATGAACCTGTTACCTCCGAGAATAGAACAGCGGAGGTTGCTGGTTTAAAAAGATTCAGATAGGGCTAATAAGGGACCCCAAAGCCGGCTTAGCCGACGAACACACCCAAGGCGTACTAGTTCTCAGGACGTGTAAAAGCTCTAAAGGTCGCATGACTCGCACTGGGACCTACACATTGAACGCAGGCAGCTTTCTAGCCAGCTCTTTGCAATGGCGCTTCATTTGAATAGCTGGTTCAAATATCGCTCCCATGCAACGGTTGTCGCCACATTCCCCCACCCTGCTCCCCAATCCCTGATTTTACTACTTTTTCAAAGTCTTATGGTCCCCTAAATACGCCGATTTCAGCGTTTTCTTCACCACTATTTTGTTTAGTTTTTTCTTACTTCTATCATAAAGCGGTGTTGGTATATGGACGGCCGACGCTATCGACGATGTTGCCAAATTGTAGAAATTGGCATTGGCGGAGAGTGTGAAATTCCTGAAAGCAAATAGTGATGATGCTGTCAACCTCAATATGTGGAATCGCGGCTGGGTATGAACTGACCGGGTCTCGTTCACTTTGGTTCTTCGTAAGGAATGGTCGTGAACGTAAATGGTGGTAGCGTCATTGCCTTGCTTGGCTGACATGAACCGGATGAAGTCCTTCGAGTTGGGATCGTTGACTTCCTCATCACTTGCGTTTACCATTTCTCGTACCTCCAAGGACACCTTTGCTTTCTGTAAGAACAATCATTTGATTCCCGGACAGTCAACAGGATTTTCAGTTGAAAAAGTAGTTTTAGTGACCGATAATGACCAGATTTCATTTTCAGACAAGTAGGATTGTTTGACATTTTATAGCTGCTCAACTCAATGAATGTTTATTTCCCAATCTTCACCGCTTTTCGCTGCATTAAACACTCACAGATCAGAGGCCTATGCCACCTTGAAATAATGTATTTAATGGAAGTCAGGAATAGAAACGTTGATGCCCATTGGTCGAGTCAGCGGGGGAAAAGGCAGAAAAAAATAGTCATCCCTATACCATTTCAC